TGCTGCTATAGGCTTAGACTGCTGGAGGACATAGGGACCCCTTTTTCATCATTCTGCTTCATTCTCTATCTCTATTCTCCCACTCTGCAGAATCTGTTAGTTCAATCTCTAACGTTCTGCTCTCTGAAGCTATAGAAATAAACTGAATTGAATTGAATGTGTATTTTTAGAAAAATACATCACCATTAAAACTTGTGCCTTTTTTGAAATGACCGTTATCGTTTGATTTTCTCAGACGCTCGCTGGCCCTCAGTCCATGCATTTAATGAACCTTCTGCTTCCTGCAGCAGATGAACTGGGACGTCCATTACTGCCCAGGTAGCAGCTCGGGATATTCTGTGGATCCAACAACTTTCTCTTCTCTACCACAATTAAAGCACAAGGAAGGATCATCTTTACCACATGAAAGCAGCGTTAATTAGCCAAATGCATGAAAACATGAAGGTCTGCTCGTTAAAGGTGTCCCAGGATGTCAAACTCCTGCAAAGTTAACTCCTCACTATGACTGTGTCTGATTCTGGAGGCTACCTGGCTACTGTGAAAATAAGAAGGCCAGAAGAGATAGAACAGCCATTTATTAGTTCAGGAAACCATGCGATATTTAGTTTTATAACAACTACATTATTTCAAATTAACCTTTTTAATTTGCAATATTTGTTTTTAAAATTTCAGGCTCTGATACAATCATTCATAACTACTTAAAATCAAAGCAACATAAGATTGATAACCCCAAATCATGCAGCAGTTCCCATCTGTTGATCCCTCGCCTGCTCAGTCTCACCTGCTTTCTCCCCGACAAGTTTCCCCACGAAATCCATGTCTGCAGATTGTGGTCAGCGTGTGGCGGAGCAGGGCGGCTTCTGCTCTTATATCCCTTCCTGCAGCCTCTCCCTGCGCAGGAATCACAGAGAAGACCGGCCTGTCCCACAGGTCCAACAGCAACCATCACCAGAGTTTTAATTCTTTATGTGAAGTGTTGGTGCGGGTTAGGGACGCCCTGTTCTTTGTCTGCACGCCAAAACGCACAAGATAATTAGAGCAATGTTGGGTGTAGCTGCAGAGAGGTTTGAATGCTTTATCTGTTTCACATACGCACAGCTAATGTGTCACCCTGCTGTTAAAAACAAACAAACCTGTGTCAGCTCTCTGTTGCCATGGTGACTGCCTCCTTCATATTCAATTCACTTTATTTCTATAGCTCCTGTTAACATCCTGTCATCTCAGGTCACTGAGAACAGCCAGATCATCAGCTTGGTTTAAAGTTTTCTTCCTATGGAAAACAAACTGGCGATCGCTCAGACCCGAGGCGTCCTCTAGATCCTGTTGTCCCTGACCCCGCCCCAATGCCTGATCAATATTCATCTTTACGTTATCAGACACTTATGAATCCCCTTCAGCTATTTGTCTCTTTATCGTTTTATTCTAAAACACACTGGGATTTTTTGAAAAACATAAAGTAGCATCAAGAGGCCAACTTTCCAAATGGACCAACAGTGATCGGCTGCATCCTGTTATTTTACAGTTAAAGTGTGAAAACATAACTTTATTTTCTTTTCAATGTAATAAAAAATACACTAGAAAACAAGTCATGTTTAATTTTAAAGGTATATGTTTCTGAGAGCTTAAAAGCACACACTGCAAAGATAAATTTAAGTCATTTCTTCTTCAAATAAGTGCATTTTATTTTTGAATTAAGCAGGTATGTGAGACTAGGGTTGTCACGATACTAAACTTTTCAACTCGATACCGATACTAAGGAAAATATTCGATACTCGATACCATTTTTGATGCCACAAGGATAAAAACAAAGACTCCAAAAGTCTACAGAAATATTTTCATTTATAAATAAAATACA